AGTCAAACTCCAAAGTCAAAATCAACTTGTGGGGTGCAATTGACGGGGGTAGGGGGGCGTGTTCGGGTCGGGGCCGGGGTGGGGGGTTTACCGGGGGGTTAGGGGGGTAGGAACCGTCAATTTTACGAACGGGGCACCTGAGCATCCCGAGTCATCCCATGACATTGAAATCCAATGTCATGGGAACTTTGGTGATAATAATAATAATAATAATAATTTTGTTAAAATCTCATCTATGTGATTTTAATAAGAATAATGCAGCCTTATTTGTCCTACTCGCACACCGAATTGAGGAAGTTTGTGACGCCTTAATAATGGCAGAGAAAAGATCAGTGTCTCCGGCACAGTCACCGGAATCTCCAGCTCTCACCGACAAAAATGGTTCAAACTCGAAGAAGGTGACCAAATCAGACTCCGATAAGCCCAAGAGACCACCATCTGCTTTCTTCTTGTACTTGTATGGTATTTTGTTTCAGAGTCTCATACTAATACTCCCTAATTTTTAATTTTTTGTGTGTTTATTAGTTATGAAGTGATTGATATTGTCTCTCGACTCTATGAATGCTTGTAAAATTTCAGTGAAAAAGATGTGTCGATTTAAAACATATTTTGATTTTGATATTTTTTTGCTGGTTTCATGTGTATGCTTTTCCTTATGGTGCTTGTAATCTGGAAGTTCCCAACAATTATAGAAATTTTTGGAAAAACAATTCTCCCATCATCAACAGTTGTAGGGTGGGAAGACGGGGAGGAGAGTGAGAATTTTAGCTCCTCCGGTCTCGAAACGAGAAGAGGGGAGCATCCTACCTCCCTTCCAACCAAACGCGCCCTAAGTTTCCGACATTACCAACAACAACAATAAACCCCAAAAAGTTTTACAAGCAAGTAGTGGCTGGGAGGGTCCGTGTACATAGACTTTACTCTTACTCGGTAGTAGAGAGTTTGTTTTCAAGAAATCCCCAGCTTGACAATGGTCTCATTTGCCATCAGTGTTAAAGATTAGCGTTAGCATTTTGAAAGGCTATTCGACGGTAGCTTTTAGCATTAGCGTTTTTGGAATTAATCTACACCATTAAAATTTTCTCCAAAACGCTAACGCTAATTGAAAATGTTGTTCCCAAACAAGGCCAATAATACGAACAAAGAAAGCACTCATGTTAACACTAGCAACTCAGACCCAAATCACAGAGATACAGAAGAATTAATTAAATAATTTATATTATTTAGTTTTTTTTAGATATTTTAATAGTTTAATTATTTTCATATATTTATATTTTATTGAGTGAAATTATAACACTCCTGCAAAGGTTTCTTTTTGAATTTTTACTTTGATGCTTTTATTGAACGGACATTATTATAATTTTATTAAGATTAGAGTTTTAACCATGATAAGGGTTAAGTTAGGTATTTCATCTAGAAATATCCATGCATCTACCTATTAGGGTTATCAAAAAATCAATAAGAAATTACTTCTTCTCCTAAACCCTAGTCTTCTCTCTGACATCTCTGTTTCTTTTCTTCTCTCTGAAATTCTCCTTTCTTTTTCCTCAATTTCTCAATATCTTGATACATATCCGTATGACCGTATCACAAACTGAAGTTACATGTCAAGGCAAACTACATGCTTCAAACTAAGGTCCAAATGTTTACTCAACTTCTCTAGTCTTAGACCTCCATGCATTCCTATCACCATAAGTATTGCATTAGCTAGATGGCCATTGCATGTTGAGTTAAACCACTTGTTGGAGATGGTATTTTGTGCACTTTTATGCATTATTATTCAACAACAAAAAAACCAGTAGAATTTCAGAAAGAGTAGAGTCTTGGGAGGGTGTGTGTACCCCTACTGGAAAGTAGAGAGGTTTCCAAGAAATCCCTGTTCGAGCAGCAAAGAAAGTACGGAAAAAGAACAAAGAAGAAGGCAAGAAGCAAACACAAACTGAGGACAAAGAAAAGGAAAACAGACAAAAACACACAAATCGCTTCTAACAACATTAGTTAATATTGCTAGAACCATGATTCAAATACAAGAGTTCATAACCGCATTGCCTCATTGCTACCTAGGGCAGTTGACCCCATGGATTAGAATTTATATCTTATGTTTTGTTTTTCAGAGAGCTATATACAAAATCACATGTAATGTGAACAATTAAGAAAGATTTGTAATTTCTAGATTCATTCACGGCCATATCATGTTAAACATATATGTTCACCTTGATACATTTATCGCTTAATGTAAAAGGTTAATTGTTTTTGATATTATGAGAAACAGACTTTACTACTTAGGGTAGAGGTAATCTCAGCTTACATCTTGCCCTCCCCAGGCCCTAATTCTGAGTGGGATTTACAGTGTTTGCTTGGGCTGGACAACCATAAGATGTTATTAGTGTCTTAGATTTGAAGCACTTTGAAAAGGTTATCTTTGAGATAACTGCTGAAAGAAACCAATGTCCGTTTTATGCAGGGAGGACTTCCGTATGGAATTCTTGGAGAAGAATCCTGAAGCCAAGTCAATGCATGATGTACACACTCAATAAGCATCTGTCACTTTTTCTTTTGTCTCTCTTTGCCTTCATTTATCTTTATGTCTTTATTAGACATTTTCACATACTGCTTATGCTTTAGGTAGGAAAGGCTTGTGGAGAGAAGTGGAAAACTATGACTTATGAGGTTAGAACATCCAAACTTGAAAGTGTGATACTAAAATCTACAATTACATGGTACTGCTTTCAAAATTGTATCGATATGCTGTAATCATGACGCCTTGTGTTTCACGCTTTCCCCATTTGTTCGTTTTCTTTTTTAGATACTCCGAATTTGTTTTTTTGCATTTGAAGATATTATCTTCACAAGCTTTTGCTTAACTAGAGCATATATGATAAAAGTTTCTCCCCACATTTAGATATTCAATGTTCTTAGAATGTGTGAATTAAAAAATGATGAGCCTCATGACTTGGTTTAGATTACTCTCGCAAATTATTTGAATACTTTGTTTGGTTCAAGGAAATCCAGAAGGGAAAATAAAACAATGTTAAAGAAAAGTAATTTTGGTTTTTGGTTAAAAAGGAAAGAAAAGAAATTTGTGAGGAAAAGAAAAAGTTAGGAAAATGCAAAATAAAAATGGCAAAGTGATTTTCCTTCCATTTTGTGAGGAAAACCAGAGAAAACAACAAAAGGTTAGGAAAATGCAAAGTAAAAACGGCAAAGTGATTTTCCTTCCATTTTGTGAGAAAAACTAGAGAAAACAACAAACTCTTCTCTCTCTCTCTCTCCGCTCGCTTCCCTCCCTTCACCAACCAAAGGAAAATAGTACTTTTAGTTTCTTTAATTTTTTTCCCTTAGCATTTCATTTTTCTTCCCAATTCTTCGAACGAAACATAGTGTTAAAGGATGATATTTTCAGGGCTTTCATCTTGTAATCTATTTGAGATTATAACCTTCCATGTCAGTCATGCTCTCGAGACAACAAAGTCAGCAGGTCGGAAATGAATGGTAGGCTTTCTAACTTCTTCTTATGTTTGGCAACAGGAAAAAGTCCGGTATTATGATATTGCTACAAAGAAACGAACAGAGTTTGATAGAGCTATGGCTGACTATAACAAAAGAAAGGTAAGCTCGTTCATGTAACTTATGTAAAGTTTGTTTTACGATGCAGCACACATCTGAAACACTTTGAGGTCTGTTATTTTTTACTTAAGTTTACTCAAGTGAAAAGTGGAGAAATAAGCGGGGCGCATTGAACTGAATATAAGTTGAAAAGAGCAGATCTTTAGCTAGAAGGATTGCTCATTTTATAAAATCCTAGGCATTTCAGGAAAATGGGGAATTTGAAGAGGACAAAGATGACTCTGGTTTCGATGATCAATGCAAGGTATCCTATTTTGACCCTTCACCGGTTCATCCCTTACAATTACATCCGATCTTTGCATCTTGACTCATTACATGTTCAATCACAAAAGGGAAAAAAACGTGGCTCCCAGAATTTGGTTTAACCTGACCTTGTTAAGTTTTTGTTGAAAAGTTGAAAAGAACAGTCTGGAAAGGGATAGAGAGACAACTTTTTTTTCTTTTAATGCTAGTTTTTCTTCGTCAATCAACAAGGTGAACTAAAAAAGACATGGGGAAAAAGCGAAAAAATTATAAGGACGAATAAATTGAAATATCCAATTTCACATTCCTAACACTTGTCTATGTTTGATCGAATATTCGGGTCATAATTTCTAGTATGAATCACTTGATTTAGAATTGTCAATTTTAATCTTATTGAGCCTCATCCAAATGCAACTGTACACCGAATTGTCTCCTAAGGAGTTCTAATGGACACAGGAACATCCAAATTCACATCTCATTATTCAACCATGTTCAATTGGACATTTGTGTAGTATTTGAAGTGCTACAATATTTATCATAACAAATTAGAGATAATTGGGCGCGTTGTCGCATTCGGATGAGGTTTGATCATGTAAAAACCCCAATCCTAGACCCAAATCACCCAATGAATCAAATTGGCAATTACTACAGGACATCCCGTCTCACAGGGGTAAGTGTTAGGAATGTAAAATTAAATGTCCACTGTTCATTATAACCACTAAGAGGACAATTAGAGAAGAAGTTGTCTTTGGACAAGGTTGATCAGGTAAAAGCCTCATTTAGACCAAGTGATTCATACTCTCAGTTACAACCCAAACGTCGGATGGTTCGGACCACAAATGGTTTAGTGTCAGGAATATTAAATTTTTATTAGAACATATTGGAAGACAATTGTGGGTGAAACGGTGAAACTGTGGTGTTCGGATGTGGTCTAATCAAGTAAAGGCTTCAATTTTAGACCAAGTGATTCTTACCAACAATTACTACCGGAATGCCCATTTGAAAATAGATGAGTGTTAGGAATGTGAAATTGGATGCTATGAAGTTAATTTTAATCTATCAGGAAACCTTTTAAGATGAAGTCACATTCAGGTTGACTGGAAGAGGTAAATTCCCAATTTTAAATCAACTTACAATTAAGATGAACTAAAGAATTGTGACCCTTATTAGACCGGATGCCATCCAAACATGACTTTACCCCCCAATTGTCCTATAAAGAGTAATAATGAACACTGGAACATCCACTTTCACATTTCTAACACTTGTTCATGCCTGATCTGATGTCGGAGTAGTAATTAACTAATTATCGCTAAGGTCACTTGGTCAGAGTTGGAGCTATTACCTGATCCAAACTCATCCACTTTCACTTTTCTAACAGTCGCTCATGATCTGTTTCGTAATATCATGAATTAAGTTCAGGAAGGTGGTGCTGAAAGTAAGACCGCCGCGTCAATTGAAGGACTCCGGAGAAGAACTGTCCCGAGCCGGGCATCATGGAAGCGTAAAACGACGTCAAAGAAAGTGACCAAATCAGACTCCAATATGCCCAAGAAACCCCCAACTGCTTTCTTCTTCTACTTGTATGTTATTGGTGTTTCAGAGTCTCATATCATTTTTATTTTTGTGTGCTTAGTTTTTAAGGGATTGATATTGCCTCTCTACTATATGAATGTTTGCTTTTAAATTTTCAGTGGGAAAATGTGTTGATTTAAAATATATTTTGATTTGTATATTTTCTGCTCGTTTTATCTGTTTGCATTTCCTTATGGACTTGTGGTTATTATAATTGGGAAATTTCCATTAATTATTGGAAATTTGAAAAAAAAAACCCTCTCTTCAAATTTGGAAGGTGGGCAGACCGGGGGAGGAGAGGGAGTATTTTAGCTTCTCCATTCTCTAAATGAGAAGAGGGGAGCATTCTCTCTCCCTTCCAACCAAACACACTGTAAGTTTCTGACACCACCCACCACCACCAACAAAAGTTCCACAAGAAGTAGGGTCTGGGGAAGGTGCATGTACGCAGACCTTACTCCTACATGGTAGTAGAGAGTTTGTTTTCAAGAAACCACCAGCTTAAAGATAGAAGCACATGCAATCAGAGTGAGCACAGTATCAAGAACAAACTAAGCACTCATATTAATACCAGCAACTTAGACCCAAAGCAGAGATAGCACACAAACACAAGTTACATGCAAAGGCAAAGTACATGCTTCAAACTAAGGTCCAAATGTTTACCCAACTACTCTATTCATAAACCTCCACGTGTTCCAATCACCTTAAATATTGCATTAACTGGTTGGCCATTTCATTTTCAGTTAAACCACTTGTTGGAGATGGTGCTTGTGTATTTTTATGCACTATACAGTAGTTAATATTGATAGAACCATGATTCATATACAAGAGTTCATTTCCACCTTACCTCATTGCTGCGTACGGCAGTTGACCCCATGGATTAGAATTCCTGTCTTAGGTTCTGTTTGGCAGATACTATTTCAGAGAGTATAGTTTATTTCGTGATATAATTAAGAATTTAAGATATAAGCCCTGCTAGGTAAAGTGAATAAGATTATTCTCAGGCCATGTCACATGTAAAGTGACCGATTAATAAAGATCTGCAAATTCTAGATCAATTCATGGCCATATCATGTTAAACACATAGGTGCTCCTTGATATCATTTATCGTTCAATGTAAAAGCTTTAGCTTTTTCTGGTCTTCTTGGGAACAGCCTTTACTACTTGTGGTAGAGTGAATGTCAGCGTACATCTTGCTCCCAAAGACCCAACATCCGAGTGGACTGTACTCGGTTTTCTTTGGGCTGGAAAACCATAAGATTTGATTAGCGTCTTAGATCTGAAATGTTTTGAAAATTTATCTTTGAGATAACTGCTGAGAGAAACCAATGTCTGTTTTCTGCAGGGAGGATTTTCGTAAGGAATTCCAGGCGAAGAATCCGGAGGTCAAGTCAATGCGTGATGTACGCATTCAATAAGCATCCTTCAGTTTTTTTGGTCTCTATTTGCCTTCATGTTTTTATTTGACATTTTCACATACTGCTTATGCTTTAGGTAGGAAAGGCTTGCGGAGAGAAGTGGAAAACTATGACTTATGAGGTTAGAATATCCCAAACTTGAAACTGTGGTTCTAAAATCTACAGTTACATGGTACTGCTTTCAAAATTGTATCTATATGCTGTAATCATGACGCCTGTTTTGCGCTCTCCTGATTCATTCATTTTCTTTTTAAGTATTTGTTATTTGGCATATAAAACATTTTCCGCTTGAAAAAAGACGGGCTTTAGAAATGTGTAATTTTTGGTGTTATTTTCTAACTTTGCCCTTACTTTGTAATAGGTAGGATATAATTTGTTGGATAAAAAAATTAAAATTTGAAAATAACTCCATAATTACACATTTTTAAAGTCTGCCATTTTTCGAATAGGAAATGTTTTCTTGGACGGAGGGAGTACTTAGCTAGAGCATATATGATAAAACTTCATCTGACGTTTAGACATTCAATGTTCTAAGCATATGTGAATCAGAAAATGGTGAGCCTTGCGGCACTGGTTCCTCTCTCAAATCATCTCACAGGGATGATATTTTCAAGCTTTTCATCTTGCGATCTTTTTGAGATTATAACCTTCCATGTCATTTTGGCTCTTGAATGGTAGGATTTCTAACTTCCTCTTATTCTTGACAACAGGAAAAAGTCCGGTATTATGATATTGCTACAAGGAAACGAACAGAGTTTGATATAGCTATGGCAGACTATAACAAAAGAAAGGTAAGCTTGTTCATATGGTTCATATAAAGTTTGTTTTATGATGAAACACACATCTTAAACACTTGAGGTCTATTATTTTTGACTTAAATATACTGAAACGGAAAGTGGAGAAGTAAACATAAAGTACTGAAATGAATATAAGTTGAAAAGAACAGACCCTTAACTAGAAGGATTGCTCATTTTATAAAATTCTTGACATTTTAGGAAAATGGGGAATTCGAAAAGGATGAAGACAACTCTGCTTTCGATGATTAGCAGAAGGTATTCTATTTTGACCCTTTTGTCCATCCAATCTTTGAATCATTACATGCTTCCCTTTCGTGTTTCCGGTGAAATATAGAAGGGGCATCATAGCTTTGTAGTCCTTTTTTCAATGTTTTGTACATTTTGTCACAAGAAACATGTAATGACAACATTGTTAATTAGGTTGTTGGTCATTAGAAATTGGTTTGAGACTAAAAGTGATTCTTGGGAGTAGCTGTCCCTTTGGTGAACTATAGTTTTTCTTTTGCAATAATTCTCACATAGATCAAGCGTAGTATGGACTATTGTATACTGACTGCACTTGGTTTGCTCTTTTTTTACCTTCTAAATAAATAAAAAAAAACTCTGATTTTGAAACTAGACCAGAGCCTATTGTTATGGAAAACCTTGATTGCACACCCCATTTTCTCCTCATGTGTTTTTAATGGAATTTGGAAGATCCAAATCCACATCTCTAACACCCAATCCATGTTTGACGTGACATTTTATAGTAATCAAAATGCTGCAAAATTCATTATACTCCTTTCGTCCTACAATTTTTGAGACATGAAAGAGTACTAGAGTCGCACGAAAACTTAAAAAAAGTAAAACCGTGTGACCGACGTTGATGTTAAAAAATAAGATAAAATAGAAAAAAATTATGAACCACACAAATATGACTAAATATGATACGGAGTATGAGAAAAAAAGAGTGGGACATATGGTAAGTAAAAGATAATAAAAATATTGTGACAGCGTAAATTGTTCAAAATGTTGAAGCCCAAATTTATCATTTGATCTCGAATTGTAATGTGATCAAATGACAATTCGAGATGGGTCCTAATTCTGATCAAATGATGATTCTAAATGAGTTGAGTTGAGAATTTCAATCGGTTGGACCTTATCCGAATACCATTTCATCTCGTAAAGAGTTATAATGCACATTGAAACATTCAAATGCAACTTTATTGCCAGTTATTTTACTCTGAGGAAATGTTTTGTGAGCCCAAGAGATACGATATTTGACAATTTCAAACTCTCTCCGTTTTTAAATGAATAACACTCCTTGTTTAACGTGTAAAATTTGTGAATGTTAAAATGATTTTATTTATAGATTATTATAGAAATAAAAATACTCCGTAAAATTATATATTTAAAAATGAACATAAAATATATTACAAAAGAAAATGTGACAAGAACACTTTATTTTATCAAATTGTCAATGAAAATATGCAAAAAAAAATTGAAAGATGTAATAGTAAATATGTAAATCATTTTGGGGCGTAGGATGTACTAAATGAACTTCTGTGTTGGTGTTTCATAAAGCCTACATCGGTGTTACTCGGTATTAAATTTTAACCGTAGCAGGTGGTCGAATCGTTCAACCGCGACCCTGACACGCATTCAGTTCGGTCCAACCTAACACAACCTCCTTGCTAGTTTGAAGTCTGGTTTGGGTTAAAAATCTTGGTCCAAATATGGTTTGAAATAATCTCTCAATGTCAATACTTTCAAATGAGAGTATTTTGATATCTTTCACTCTGGGAGACATTAATCTCAAAGTTTAAAAATATTTCTTAACCCGTGCCCCGGTCATCGTCGGCCACCCCCATCATCAACCACCACCCGCTGCCAGCCAGCCTTAGTTACGCGCGGGTCATTATTTTAGATTACTCCATACATTTTTAAATATTTCAAAATTCATTCATTTTTTAAAATTTCAGAACTCAAACAAATATACAATACAATATGAGCATTTTAAAACTCGCCAAAGAGGACCCAAAATGTGATTCACATAAATACATAATCAACTACAATCAAATGTTGTTGTAGTTATTAATTCATCTTACATATAAAAAAAAATGTGCTATCTTTTAAAAATAAAACGAGAATTTCATAACAAAATGTACATATGTAAAAGAAAACCGAACAAAATATAAAACATAATCCTAATAGATCGGAGAGCCATTCACTTGTGGCGGAAAGAATGTCCGGCAGAAACATGATCGGTGTTCCCTCATTATCTTTCTCCCGCCACGCCCTCAATATTTTTGCTCCCATTCTTCCCACCACCCCATGCGGCAACCGGCGGAGTAGATATCCGGTGGTGGTTCCTTTTTCGCCCTGCACGGAGGAGGAACGCAACGCCGCCGCCGCCACCGCCGCCGCCGGTTGTGTCCGCAGCGAAAAAGGCATAACCTTTTGTTGACGCATATACACAAACCCACGCCGCCGCAATGTCCGCTATGCCCCCACCTCCCCCGCCGGAGACCGGGCCGGAAGTCGACTTGGAGAAGCTGGGGGAGATGGTGGTGTGCCTGTCGGAGACGATATACCGGTCGAACGGGGTGTGGGAGGGCCCAGACCCCCTCACCCCCATCATCCCCCTCTTCCTCCTCCAAATAATGGTCGCCATTTTGGCCTCCCGCCTTCTCCATTTCGCCCTCAAACCCTTCAATCAACCTCCCATTGTTGCTGATATCTTAGTACGTTTCCAAAATAAAATTATACTCAGTAATTTTTAGTGAAATTTGCACTAAATAGGACTAAAACATAATGACTTTCCTAATGTAGGACTTAAACTTTTTTATTCCATAAATAAGACTTAATAATGACCTAGTGGAAGGAATAATGTCCAGCAATGATGCACATTTAGTTGAATAATGACTTCGTGTTAATGACTAAAGGTCCTATATTGGGAAATAAAAACATATGATCCTATATTGGGAAAGTCATTATGTTTTAGTCCTATTTAGGTAAATTTCTCTAATTTTTATCATATGTAGGGACTTTTTGGGAATATGTTAGCGTTAACGTTTTAAAAAGACTATCAACGGGCATTGTCTAGCGTTAGCATTTTCAAAATTAATCTCTAATATTAACATTTTATCCAAAACCCTAATGCGAATCGAAAACGCTATTCCCGAACCCGCCTGTAAATTTTATTTTTTTTAACTTTATTCTAATTTTTAAATAAATTATCTTGAAAAAATTTGAGTATAATTGCATTGTACTCCCTCCGTCCCAAAAAGATCTTGTTTCATTTTTTACCCATCCTATAAAACACTTCTACACACATTTAAAATGCCTAAAATTTACCATATTTCCCATTTATTGTGTGTAGAAGTTGTTTTGAAAGATTTTTTTACATTTAATGCGGTATAAAGGTGTTTTATGAGATGCGCACAAAATAAAACAGAAAATTCTTTTTGAATGGAGAGAGTAATTAAAGTATTTTTTAAATGTTGTGGCAAAATACAGAGTGGTTTACTTTTGGGGCCGAGTGTGTTTGGAAGGATAGACAGATTCCGGAGGGTAATTTTCCCCAACTACAATTTTGAAGTCATTGAGACGATGGCCCATTTTGCCCTTGTCCTCTACGCCTTCATCGCCGGCCTCCAAACGGAAATCAAACCCCTCTGGAAGACCGCCGCCAAATCCAAGGTCGTCGCCGTTTCCGGCACAATCTTCCCTTTCCTCGCCGGAACCGCCCTGTTCTTCGCCCTTCCCGGCACCGCCGGAACGCGTGCGGGTTTCCTGTACTGCGCCGCCGCCCTCACCGTCACCGGCTTCCCCGCCTTGGTCGGAATCCTCGATTCCCAAAAGGCCCTCCACACCGAAGTCGGCAAAGTCGCCGTGTCCTCCGCGGCCATCAACGACGCGTTGTCGTGGGTTTTCCTCTCCCTGGCACTGATGATCACGGGAAGCTCGTCGAACTTCCCGTGGGCCCTGATATGCACGGCCGTGTACGCGACGTTTTGCGTCCACTACGTGGGGCCGGGCCTCGGTTGGGCCGTCGGGAAGAAGCCGGAGGGGCAAGGGTATAGCGAGTTCTACATCTCCGCCGTCCTGGTCGGGACGGCGGTGTCCGGGTGCGCGATGGACGCGATCGGGACCCACCCGATGGTCGGGGCGTTCCTGTTCGGCCTCGTCATTCCGGACCAGGTCCTCGAGAACGAGATCCTCGACAGGCTCGAGGACTGGGTGACGGGGATCCTGATGCCCATTTTCTACGTCGTCTGCGGGCTCAGGGCCAATGTCGGCGTCATCACCGACGGCGGGACCGGCATCGGCACCGTCATAGTCCTCATTCTACTCGCATGTGCGGCGAAGGTTGTCGCCGCACTTTTCGCTTCTTGTTTGACTGGCATGACGAGGAAGGAGGCGATCGGTGTCGGCGTGCTCACTAACACCAAAAGTGTCATGGTCATGGTCATCCTTGAAATCGGCCAAGTAGAACAGGTACAATCCATATACATCTTGTCTCAAAAAATATTTCCACTTTTATTTTGAAAAATTTATGACTAAAATATAATGACTTTCTTAATATAGAATTATACTCCATTAGTATGTTTTTATTTCTCAATGTAGGATCATTGGTCATTATCCATTAGTCATTATTTAAGTATATGTCCGTCATACTGGACATTATTCCTCCCACCAGACATTATTAAGCACGGAGTACTATTTGGGAGAAAGACCAAAGTAGAACTAAAATATTGAAAATTTATCAAAATAGAACTTTCATATTTTTATTTCCAAAATAGGATTTAAAATGCATTTACATTACCAAAAATGGTCATGTACGTTATAAAAAAGTATAATAATGTACACATGTACATTATGCATTTACATTACCAAATTTCAGTTTTAATTTTCATTATTAACCCAACCCATCACATTATGTTTTTTTAACTTGGGTAGGTTTTGAGCACGCAAGCATACACCATAATGGTGATTGCGTCATTGGTGATGACAATGGCCGTAACGCCGATGACGGCCATATTGTGTCCCCCACAAAACACGGTGCCCTACAAACGTAGGACCATACAAATGGCGAAACCAGGGGAGGAGCTGAGAATCATGGCGTGTATCCACGGCACCGGCAACGTCGCCGGAGTGATCAGCCTCCTGGAAACCTCTAACCCCACAAAAGCGTCGCCCATCGCCGCCTACGGCGTCCAGCTCCTGGAGGTCGTGGGGCGGGCTCCGGCGATGCTCGTGGTCCACAGCTCGGGCTCCGGGCGGCGGGCGGCGGCCGGAGGGCACAAGAACCTGACCAACGAAGAGGCGCAGACGGGGCAGATCATCAGCGCGTTCGACAACTTCGAGCTCCGGTCGGAGGGGGTGAGCACTCAGGTCTTGACGGCAAAGTCGGCGTTTGCGACAATGGCGGAAGATATTTGCAGGATCGCCGTGGAGAAGCGGGCGTCTCTCGTTGTCCTCCCTTTCCATAAACAGCTCGGCGACGGCGGGGATTTTGAGGAGACTGATCCGGCGATTCAGAGTGTGAACGAGGAGGTGAGGAAATATTTCAATTTTCTAAGAAATAAAAT